TTACTCAATGTCAGAAGATCCTTCGACTCTTCAATCGCCACTACGATGTTGTCATATCTTGCCATCAAAGAACGCAAGATCTTCGACACAACATTCTGCTCCAAATTTCTCCACATGACTTAATTTGATTTATCAACCGCGTAATTCGCTTCACGTAATAGTTTCTTTGTCTCTTTTTCCTCCATTTTAATCAATTCAAATTATTGTTTGTGAGTTTGTAACTTCACCACCTTTGCTTTATCAACCCCTGCATAAGTCTTTTCTAAAACTTCTCACGCTTATTTTGATGATTCACAATCACCAACTTACTCAAAGTTGTCACCATCTATCTACACATTGATGGATAAAAAACAACACCTTGTATTCTTTTTTTTCTTCCTTATACGTAGTCTTTTGTGCATCATTTGCACCTTCGACAAATGGAGTTACCCCATTCTTGATCACTTAAAGAACTTCTTGGTAGCCAAACAACACCTTCATTTGATTGCTCTATTTGTCATAATTCTCGGCTTCAATGAGAGGTAGGTTTGTGGGGACTCTATCATTGGAGACGGTATTCATGTTTGGACATCAGATTATGGATCAGAACCAAGACTTTTGATGCCAAATGTTGGAACATACAATCACACAATTGATAAATCAATGGAGGTTTAGTGCTTGTGGAGAAGAATATAGTGAGAGAAGAAAAGAATGAGAGAGAGAGAGAGAGAGAGAGAGTAATTGAGAGTGAGAATCAATAATGACATTAACTTTGAGATGAGATGCCTCCAAAATATTTATACAAGTGATGTCTAACAATTGAGACCTAAAACAAAACTTTAATCAACAAAAAAAAACTAAAAATTCGAATGCATAACGGATTAACACAAAAAGTTAATCGATTACCACTGGAACAACAAAAACAATACAACACTGCTATAACCGGTTAACGCATGGACAGACCCAAAGCCTAACTTGTGGGTGCCTTGGCCTCAACTACAAATCATTTACTTATTAATTAGTACATATTTATATAAATATGTTTTTATATTTTTATTTTATATACAAATTATATTAATTGTGTGTTGTGTGTTAAGTACTCAATGCAAATATATATATATATATATATATATATATATATATATATATATATATATATATATATATATATATATATATATATATAATACTATATATTTATTTAAGTTTGTCCCCACAACAAAAAGTTTTTAGATCCGTATCTGAATTAACGTGTTTGTATAATCGATTATTATAATACATAAACAATTTTTTCAATTCTTTAAAAATGCTTTTTTATTTATCATAATTGATTATACTTCTATAATAACCGGATATAACATTTAAATTATTGAAATTTATAATTAAAAAAAATCAATAACTTACCGTGTGTTTTACTCTATGTCCCACAATTTCTACTAAATCAGTAGAACCTTTTCAAGATATTTTGATTAAAAGAGATAGATGAGGAAGAGAAAGAACAAGGGAAAGAAAATGAAAGATGTCATGCATGATGTGATAGGAAATAAAAATAGAAATAAAGATAAAAAGTAAAGAAAAAAGATAAAACAATGACAGTTAAGAAAAAGTTTACTACTACTATATCTTACCATCAATATCATGTTTTAAATGTTGGTATTTTTCAGACTAAGTGACAATTGTCTGGCAGCTTTCACATTACCAGCACATGATTTTGAGACCCCATCGACTTTATTATTTAATCACATTTTGTTTTAACTCTTTTCATTTTCATATCAATTAAAAACAATTACATAGATTCTTGTAATAATTACATAAGAAGATAATAAACATATATAAAGTAGATTTAGTTTCATAGATATTTGACAACTGGACTTGAGTTGTAAGTGACAAATACAGAATAATACGAACAATGTTGATGCCCGTGACTTCATTTTCGATAATAAACAAATGAAATGATTTGGATTAAGAAAATTAAAGCAATGAAAATTTTACAATAATACATAATGAAATGATTTCATTTATATATAATTGATATAAGTAACCAAATTGCAACTTATAGTGCAGATAGTTCCAAATTTGAAACAAATAAATTATTGTAATATTGTTTCAGATTTAGATCATATTTATTCATTCGTCCTTGTAGATCTGCCAGCTTGTGCTGACCATTAAGTTATATGTTTAACGTGTAGATGTTATTTTAGTTGTAATATATTATTCAACTTAATATAAATATGTTTTTTTTTTAATTATAGGCGATTTATTAAACAAAAAGAAAAAATAAAAAGAATGAGATGACGTAAAATCTAACTCAGCAAAATATTAGTAAAAATGATAATTAGACATATTAATCTATCATTCAAAATTTTCAAAATCATAAATAAAAAGTGCATCCTACCAATCGACAATAAAAATTATATTGTCTAATTTATCTGCACATATATTTTTTTATATTTTAAATGTGAGATATCTTGAATTTAAAATAAATATAGTGTAAAATATTATTTCATTTAATTAAAAGATATTAAAAAATAATATTCAAATCAGAAAATGCATGAATGACTAGTATTGAGTTAGTTTCAAGTTAAAGATTTCTCCAATTATTTTTATTAGCATATTTGAATATAGCAAACATGATTCTTTGCAATTCAGCTTGAGCGAAAGTGCAAACTCAATTCTTAATCGAGAAAACTTCCAAGAGTATTCTTAAATTATCCCTAAATATGTCACCACAACTTAATCTAATTATGAATAGGAAAACACCTATTAACCTATATATGATTCTAGGTGCAGAAGGATGTCAATATTTGATGTCGAAACATTTAATAATTATAAACCCGTGAATTGAAGAGCACACGTGCTCTTGGAAATAAATATATGCAAAATAGATTCATTGTATAAAATGAAGAATGTCTTTGTCAAAGTCAACGTTACCAATTTTGAAACCAAATATCATTTCTTGTATGCAGATATTTTTCAAAGAATTATTATGATGAGAGTTATGATCAAGTTCTGAATTTGAGAACGACAATTTTTACCAGTAAATTTGAATAAGTTTTCGTAACTAGTTTTATCAATGTTTATGGCAAATAATTGCTTCGTCCAATGTCAGAAAAGTAAAGTGTACACGCATTTAAGAAATAAGTGGTATGCATTTTCCACATCATAGTTGCAAAGAAAGAACTTCCAAACCATATGCATTCCCCTTCGAATCAAGTTGTCTTTTGTTGCAATAACATTACACATCAGTTTTCAAGTCACTAATGACTTAGTTGGTGGTATGTAGGGATGTCAAATCAATTTGTTCAAGAAGACTTAATATGATTTCTATTGATATAATTGTAAGCATCTTTAAAAGATAAATCACTATTAACAGTTCATGTCCAAATGAGTTCATCGACAATAGCGAGTATTATCAAATGTCAAGTTAATCTTCAAAATATCTTCAATAATTTGAGGATTAAAAATGGAAAAGCCATGAGGAATGTTTCAATTGATGTATTGAATAATTGAATTGACCTTAGTAGTTTGCATAAATTGAATATCCACTAGTAATACTATGTGTAAATATTTAATTTTGTATCCCAACCAATTTTCAGTCAATAAATCAATGTGCTTATCATTACCAACCTGCCTTCTACTATGTTCTTCGAAAAAGGAAAATAGATGTTTAATGTCAGGTCATATTGAAGAAGAAATATGATGCATGCTTAATTTTTTTATCCTAAAGTATCTACTAATATGCATAGAAGATAATTGATTATTGGTAATCAACAATTTCTAATAAAGAGATAAATTATCAACTTTGTTTATTGTCTTAATATCTCTCATACCAAGACATCATTTACACAAAGGTGGACAAATAACTTTTCAAGATGTAGCAATCAACTTTCTATTATCTATGCTATTTGTCCACACAAAATTTCTAATGCAAGAATTAAGTATGTTAAGAAGATTGATTGACGATTCATGAATTCTAAAAATATACAAAAGCATATCTTGTATGAGAGAATGAACCAAATGAGTCATACACATCATATAAAGAAGGTATAGCTTCTATCTGCTATGATCTATAGATAATGAGTTCTACACTTATCTTTAAATATAAAAAACTCTAAAATAGTTAAATAGTATATGCTTCATAGTGAATCCAAATATATCTATAATATGCATCAACCTAATATAAATATATAAATGTGCAATCGTAAAAATATAGTAAATTCATCAAATCTGTACATCATTTATTCATATCACAATTTTTAAGGATGAAAATTCAAACTAATTATTATATATAATATTGAAACCCTTTAACTTACCTTGGATCATAAGAAAAACTTTGGAGAATTATTTATATTTTATCACGAGTAACCATACAAATAAGAAAAACATGTCACTTTTATATAAAATTTTAAAATATTAAATTTATAAATCCTTTCATTTATATATTACTCAATATTTTTTTAAGGATTATAAGATTTCTATAACTCAATGGCCACAAAATAATTTTCCAAATGAGTTACATACTTTCTATAAAACAGAAATTTTATCATTCACGTACACTTGTGTCATCGTTATTACCCACAATCAACATGACATCACATGACCTCCATTTTAAAGAGGATTTTTCACATATAATTCGATTTTAAGTTGAACTATTAACTTTGATAAAAATGTTGGATAACAAAGACAATTTAAAAAATCATTTACATTCAGTCAAAAACATCTATATTAATGGAGAACACATCACATATTAATCCAAAATCTTTAAAAATATAGTTTATATTAATCTAAAATCTTTAAGATATAATTTATAAATCCTCTAATTTATATTTTAATCGACCTCCCCTTTTTTTAAACAATACTAGTCTTTTCACTTACTTATCATACAATAATTTAAATTCTAAATAAAGCAAAGAAACTCACCAATCCTTTCCCTATAAAACCCCTCTCAAACATCATCACTCACACACCAAACCAAAGTGACTAAGAGTATTAGTAACCAAAAGTCATATTCCAAGTTCAAAATGGCTTCCAAGGTTGCTATAATCCTTGCCCTCAACATCCTCTTTTTCACTGCTGTAACCTCCAACTATGTTCCATGTCCTCCACCACCCCCAAAAGATCACAGTCACCACCACTCACATCCAAAGAACCCAACATGTCCTAGAGACACAATTAAGCTTGGTGTGTGTGCTGATATATTAGGTTTGATTAATGTTGAACTTGGTAAGCCACCAAAGACACCATGCTGTTCTCTCCTTGATGGTCTTGCTAATCTTGAAGCTGCTGTCTGCCTTTGCACTGCTCTTAAGGCTAACATCTTAGGCATTAACCTCAATCTTCCCATTAATTTGAGCTTGATACTTGGTTACTGTGGAAAGGGTCTTCCAAAGGGATACGTTTGCGCTTAATTAATATGCTTGTCTTGTGTCACTGTATTTGTTATTCTTCATATGGTGTGTGAATTTTGTACTATTTTGGTACATTATCTCTCGCACTTGTTATTTGTTTTTGTCAATGAACATTTCGTTCATACTTTATTATATTATTGTCAACATTCTTGTGAGGATTGGAAATTGAAGTAACTGTCTTCTTTTTCAGCCTCACAATTATGACTATATAGTATTTTTCATATTTTGTACTACTCCATCTAAGAGATATTTCTTGTATTAATACAAAAATTACGTTTATGCAAAGATTCATGATTCCTTTTATTAATTTCTTATGTAGTTGAGTTAAACTGTGGTGTTTTGGCATACACTACTACCAAAAATCTCTTTTATTTCAATTGAAAATGGAGTTTTACCTCTCTTGTATTCTAATTTAGCATTAACAGTTTTTTTTAAAGAAAAATAAAATATAATAACTTCACACTTATATGAAAAAATACTCATTTAAATGGAGAAAAATTCTTAAAACATAATTAAAAAAAACTCCGCGACAAACTTTTTGAAACTCATTTGCACAAATAATATTTATGTGAAATAACTTTGACCGAACATAAAATCTTTCACAAAGTTCTTGGAAATCATTTACAACATTTAATAATTAAAAAACATTTTTTATTAAGAAGAATTTTTTGAGAAAGGAGGGGCTGATGTCATCATAGGCATGTTTTTGGAAGGATAAGCGAGATGGTCTTACTCCCTTAAACAAAAAATTTCCAAGTCTGTTTAAGAATGTTCATCAGTGCATTGAAAACATGTGGTTTTGGGACTTGGGTATTGAAAGGTGCACGGCTAACAAAAGAAGAAGGTAGGATTTGGAACAACTAATCGATATTCTACGCTAAAAATACTTCATAGAAATATACCTATATGTTGGAGAAGTCTAGCTAGCGGTTATAAAAAATCTTGACGCCACATATTTATGGATTATTATGAGGGAAATATTCATATTGACGTTAGAATAATAATGCAAACGTGAATAAGTGAAAAATTAAAATTTTAAAAATTTATTCGATTTTAAAAACAAGTTGTTCTTCTTTTGGTTTGGTGTTTAATATTTAGAAATGTTATTTTTTCTTTCCTGGCTAGATTTAAGATGAAAGCGATAAATGCAGATAAATAAAGAACATAAGGATGTATCCTGATTTCTCTCATACTTCAAGAATACGCTTGTCCCCTTTCAATATGAAAAAGATTTCATTATTGTTAGATATTCAGACAAGACAACCTAGTCTTTCTTTACAAGACCCTAACCAATAAAACCACCAAGAACAATCCTCTTGGATTTTCACTAAGTATACTAAGAGAACAATCCTCCCTTAATGACTCTCTTGCTTCTAATAATTTTGGACAGCAAGGATACACTCAATTCTGAAATTTATTTAAGTAAATGAAGATGATGAATACATCTATCAATCACTAGGATTGTGTGATACGGTGGGAGAACTGACTTGAGGTTTTGCGTTTGTTTTCGCAAATGTTTCGGTTGAGCAAGAGTCGCCACCGACTTTTTATTTTATCCTAAGGAAAGGTTTAAAAAGCACAGCAAAAACCTTTGAGATGTTTTCTTGGGTTCGGGGAGTAGATTATAGAAAGGGAAGGTATTAGCACCCTTTCTATCCATGGTTATCCATGGGCTCTTAGTTACTTGCTTAGATCAACTTGCATTTATTTTCAATTGTTTGAAATGGTGCTTTGTGTGTGTGGGTTTGAAAATGTTTTGAAAAGAAGCCAATGTGGTGGCAACCTTTGTAATGATCCATGTTGGGATGTATACAAAGGTGTATGTCTTTTGAAAAAAATTTCAATGTTTTTGAAAGATTTTGAAAGTGTAGTGATGTGTGGTTTTGAAAAAAGTAGGCAAGTGTTTTGTTTTGCAAGTTTGATTCAAGTAACTAAGAGTTTGTCTACTCCTAAATTTCTCAAAGATTTCTCCTATGTTTTTAACCCTTTTAACAATTTTGTTCCACCATTGCATTTGGTGGACAATCTTGTGTTAGGATGTGAAAGGGACGGGCGCGGGTCATCGTTTAGACCATAATTGCAATGGTGCCAAGTATCTTTGGACAATTTTTCCTTGGAGGGACTTGATCATTTTTTAGGCAACTTTCGAAAGCGTCATCGAGGGACTATGATCATTGGAATTGTATTTGTTTTGCCCAAAGAGACCTAACATGCAATATGGCCCATTATTGAAGGCAACAAGTGGAATACCCTAGGGGTGCAAGTGTGATTAGTGTTGTCCATTTTCATGCTTGATTATCTTGAAATTAGGTCAAACTATCTTGATTAATTGATTTGCATACAAACCCTAATTCTAGCATGGTATAATTAAAAAGCTTTAAAGTGCGAAAAATAAAGTTCCTAAGTTATTACAACACAATATATGGGAAGGGGGGGTACAAATATTCAAATAGGGGTATTTTGACAAGGAATTTAAACCTAGACTATTACAATCCAAATGGAATTATACAAATTATTTAATATGCAATAATTAAATAAAAATGGAATAAATATGCAAGATGCAAAAAATGTTTTTTATATGTATGTAAAAAAGTGTTTTTTTTTTATGTCAAATAAACAAAATAAAAAAGGTATTAATTTTTGGAGTTTTTATGTATTTAGGGCAAAACCCTAATTTTGCAAATAAAAGATATTTATTATTTAATATATACAATGTTTATTAATTATGTACAAAAATAAAATAAAAATGAAGTATATTTGTCAAAAAGGTATTTTTAATGTTAAATATTAATAAAAATAAAAATGTATATATTTTGTATTTTCCTAAATATATTAACAAGTATATATGTATTTACATTATTTGTTAAATATATATTATATATACAAAATAATAATATTTAATATTTATAAAAAAAGTATATTTTATATAAAATATTTTCAGAAGATAAAATAAAATAAAAATTGGAAAATAAATGTATTGGTATTAATTTTAGTATTTTTTTACTAAAAGATATTAAGTATTATTTATGTACAAACATCAATTTAAACAAATAAATCCCTAATAAATACAAAAATAGTGTGAAAAATATTTTTTATATTTTTAATATTATGAGAAAAAATAAATAAGTCAGGACAAAAAAGAAAAGGTCAAAAAATCATAAGAATAAGCATAATGGGCCTAGGGGGTGTAAAAGTAAAAATGGGGTGTAAATAAGAAAAGTGAAACAAGCCCAGCCCAAAGACCATGTCATCTTCAACCTCCAACATTTCTGTTCAAAAAAACACGCGTTTTCTATCTCCATATTCCTTGATCTTTTGCCAAATCTTCCAACATGAAACCTGTAGAGCTTGAAGCCACGATTCTGGACATATAAAGAAATCAATCTAACTCAGAAATGAGAGAGAATTTCTTCTCCCCCAATTCCTGACCTAGTTTTTGTTCCAAGTTCAGACATCAAATTCTCATAGCACACATAACATAAATGAAAACTAATTACATGGGCATGTTCAGGGCTATGAATGTGACATATTTTCTTCACAAATCTAAACCTAACAATGCCTGGATAAAGAGATACAAGTTCATGAACTTACCTGTTCAGTTGGAATCGTGTGCAACAATGGAGATGAGTACAAGGCAAGGTAATGATTTGTATAGCTTCCTTGATGTCTCAGGATGCTATTCCAACTTTTAGTTTGCCTTGAAACCAAGTGAATCGTGTTATGGCACTTCAACTGCAAAACAAAAAATATGGAAATGGTGATGTTAGCTGGGGGTGTTACAGGTCGTGTTTGAGGCTTGGAATAGTTTCAAGGGATGATGTGGGATGTGTTTGAACAAGTCTTAGCAAGAATGCACAAGTGGAATGAACTATAGAAGTCCAACTGCAGCTTATGCCCTGTTTTTACAGTTTTATGGTGATTCTGTGTTAGAGAGGGTAATGGAGATGGTTAGCTTGTGTTTCAGCTTAGGTTTGATGATTAGAAAGTGTTTGATAACTTTGCTTAAGCTCTGGTTCACAGGAATGAGAGTTGTGTGTTGTTATGCTAGCTTTCTTCAACTTTAAGCAACAAAAGTTCAAGTTGTGTTCTAGACTGATGCAGGCCCCCAATCTATGCTGCAAACCTTGGCCTTGATCAGTGCAATTAGTTCATAAACTTGTTCCAAAAGGATCTGCCTTGTACTTGCTTGGATTTGCAATTGACATAAAGTTTAACTTTTCTAAAATGGCAAAAATGCTTTATCTAAAAATGGCTTAATCTTACATATAATGCTTGAACACACAAAATAAGGCCTTGGCACAATGAGTTAGCATTAAATTTATGAGTGCAAATAGGATATAGGACCTGTAATCAAGGAATGCAAGCTGAGTTCAAAATGGCACAAGTGTATGAACATGTAAATTGGCCAAATCAAAAGTGAGTTTTTCCCAACTTGCCAAATTCGATTCTCCCTAACCATGAGGTTGTTTGATGAGTTCTTAGACATTTTGGAAAGCTTGGAATGTGTACTACAATCCATCTTTGAAATGCAAATTGAAATTCCAATAGGAAGCATGTGAAAAATGGTCTTGAAGTTAGGCAAAAAGCCTGCCTAAAATGGTTCAAAATTTCTCTAAGTTAAGAATGGTTTGGTACCCTTGTTCCAAAAATTGTAACTTGAGCTACAAGCTTCTTTTGGGAAAACTTTGTGAATCAAAGTTGTAGATTTTGCAATGGACTACAACTTTCATGTTTTGACTTTTCCTTGAATCCAAATGCATCTTGATGAGAAAGTGGGACAAAGTTAGGAAAAAATTAGGGTTTTTCATAACTTAGAAAAATTCTAAGTTATGAAAAATCTTCATTTCAAACCCTAATTTGCAATTCTTGATTTCTTGATGAACAAGTTTCATGATTTGGCATGTTTTGATGAAAAATGAATCTTGACACTTGATTTTGACCAAAAAGTCAAAGTTTGACTTTTCAGTATACAGTCAAAATTGATCAATTGACTGGGAAAT